TCCAGTACCCCCAGAGGCATTGATTTGTTATGGGAACATGGAGGACTTTGCGACTTGACAGATTTAACGTGCATCAGTCACCATTTACTACACGGGGAGTTTTCAGGAGGTGGAATTCGAACCCACGAACTCTTAGACATGAGCCCAGCGCCTTACCGACCAGGCAATCCCAGCATTTATGAATAGTGAATTTAGGTTTTTATTGCCATCAGAATTGCAGTTTTTTTTTATTACCAGAAAGGACATTGGCAGTCCGGTAATTGTACCAGAATTTCCTTCTCTGTGTACAATTATAATGCGAACATCTAATCGTCAAAAATCAAAAATGTATATGATCCATTTCCTTTTTTAAATGCAACAAATATAAAATTCATAAGCTAGCACAGAGATTCATAATTTTATTGTAAGTTGCAGATTACAAGCATTTAAAATCATTTTTAACAAATGAAAATGCATAAAATTTCGATTTTGTACATTTTAATGCTGTTTCTCAATTTTGATTTTTTTCATTTAATATTATTTCTTTCAGAGCAATAAGGCAATCCTGAAAAAAAAAATAGAAAAAAGATATTAATAATAATTAAACAACAAAATGATATTTATTAAAAAAAATATTTTACTCCGTCCAAGGAAATTTTTATTTCTGCTTAGTTAGTAATTCTTGGTCAAGTTGTTCTCTGTTGCCATTTTAATTTTTTATTTTTATTTTATATACGTCGTTGAACAGCCGTTGAACAGTTTATGGAACTAACCCGCATTTGCTTCACATGGAGAGGAAGACCCCGAGAACCTCTCGCGGTTAGCCTGACAGCAGGAGTAATTTAGCCCATGATCCATCTACCACTGAGGATATTTCACGTCAGCACTGTGGTCGGTGCAAGGTGGATGCGGATTCGTATCGACCAGCCATCGCTTGATTTCGAACCCGGTTCAACTCATTGGAAGGCGAACGCTCTATCCCTTGAGCCATCATGGCTCCAGACTGACCCTAGACCGGGATCGTACTCCGGAGCCCTCGGTCTACAAATTTCTTTGCCATATGCTACCTACTCTACTGACTCCACGCTCATACGCAAAACAAATGCCGAAACTGGGAATCGAGCCCACGACCCCAATATTAAGAGTCTCGTGCTCTAAATACAGATATTAGCGCTAATGCATACATCAGCGAATTATAATTGTTGTTTGTTTGTAATAATTATTCATGATTGGTAGGATCCATTTTGCCACAATGTAGTCAGCTCCCTATATACTCATTTTGAAAATGCTATAGCATATAAATGTAGAGTAAAAACTATAGTTTTGTTAGAATCTATTTTTCACTGCTAGAAACATCACTTCAACGCTGCTTGACTTGGAAAAACAATGCTGCCTCTGCATGGTCTGCAAATACTTCGTCAAATTTAATACATAACTTTCGTTAAATTTTGTGAAATGATGCTATTTGTCGAACACTATGCTTATAACTTCTGTATAACTTTATAACTTCTGTAAGTTTAAAACAATGACTATTGGGTCAAGTTCTGCCCGTCTTTTCTATAGAATCGAGTTAACATCTCTTATATTCTGGTTAATTGGAATTATATTTTTGTAGTGGTAGATACACTACAGTCTATATGGAGAAAAGTCACAGTTTTGTGAAAATGAAAACTATATGTGGCCTAAACGTTTATTATTTAAAAGTTTAACGCAATGCCGCATTTTCTGGGCTTATAAAAACTTGCTAAAACTGAGAATAAGGCAGTGATTTTGATAATTTCCATCTGGGGGGAAAAATGTTGCCAAATTGGAGATTTAAAAAAAAAAGTATTAACTTTTAAAATATTTAAGTCATTTGTCCGTTCTAAAGTTCAGATAATTCTTCTCCGCAAGACGGTATATGTGGTTTAAAATTGCTTCAAGTGTAGGGCATTTGCACTGTTGCTTTTTTTAAAAATTTCTTTGGTGAAAGAGTTTCGAAAAACTACGTTATCTGAATGGGCTTTAGAATGGACAAAAAAGCCTAAAATTTAAAAAAAAAAAAAGAATATTTATTTCTTTAAATCGCCAATTCAGTGTGATTTTTTTTCTTCAGCATAAACTATTGATTTTAAATTTTTTAATTTTTTTTATTTTCTCGACATTACAACTCTGCAGTAACTTTTCAAACAATAAAAATTAGGTCACAAGCGCTTTTCGTCTTCACAAAACTGTGGCTTTTCTTTTCGCGCTATTTACATAATAAGCCTAGAGAGCACTGGCTAAATGCCGGCAAAGATTAACCATCAGGTTCAACTGTTACAAACTTACAACAGTTAACCATACATAGATGAAAAGCAAACTTTTTTTTGTGTGCTCTTTTTCAACCTCCATGTCATTAAAAAATTTGGTACCTGGTATGTTTATATTTTATATCCGTCGTTGAACAGCCGACCCAATTTTAGGTTTACGACTACTGATGTTCAACTCCGTAGCCTTGTAATTTTTAACCCAATCCAGAAGACACGGAAACTCCTGGATCAGTACCCCCAGAGGTATTGATTTGTTATGGGAACATGGAGGACTTTGCGACTCCAGAGATTTAACGAGCATCAGTCACCATTTACTACACGGGGAATCTTCGGCTGGTGGGGATCAAACTCACGAACTCTTGGATCTGGGCTCATTGCCCTACCAACCAGTGCTATACCGGCCTCAGGATAACCTGGTCGGTATGATGTTGGACTCGTGTTCGTGAGATCGAATGCTGCCATCCGAAGAATCTCCATGTATTAAATGTTGATTGGTGCACGTTTAATATGTCGGGGCCACAAAGTCCTTCGAGTACCTATCAATACCTCTGAAGGTTCTTAATAGGAGATGGATCGTTCTCTGGTTCAGGTTAAAATGACTGTCTGTGAATGAATGAATGAATGGAATATGAATGGGTCCTCCCTGCAAAACAGGCTGTGATGTGCGAGTGGATAAAATCGTATTCTAGGCCGTAGATGGTACCACTGAAAGTAAGAAACGTACCCTACTGCCTTAAACTCGCTTGGTCTCACATAGGATGCTTGGGGCCGGGATAGACTGGTTGGTAGGGTACTGGGCCCATGTTCGTGGGTTAGATCCCAGCCAACTGAAGACTCCCCGTGTGGTACGGAGTTGAAGTAACCTAAGTCAGTTGAAGTAATTAGTAGTCGTAAACCTAAAATTGGATCGGCTGTTCAACGATGGATATAAATATAAACATAGGTTGCTTGCTGGTATTGATGTGTGTAACAACAACAGACTCTGTATCTTTAATGTTTATTGAATCATGCTATGTGAAAAGTGCTCCAGCAATATACTGCCGAATAATAGAAAAAAGCGACGCAAGTGAAAAAAATTCAAATTTTTATTTATTTAACACTTCTTTATAAAAAACTACTCATTGCAAATTTATTTTTAAAAAAAATATATGAATTTTTCTATTTTTGCTTCAAAATTGCGCGGCAACATAATTATTTGCACTGCACAGTGTAGGAATGATTATGTAATCCAAAAATAAAAAGAAATGATTTATCATGTTTTTCAGAAAAAAATTAGCAAAAACAAAGTTTTAACTTTACGTAACTAACTAACTAATATTTTTAAACGATATCAATATACTCAATCAAGGCAGAGTTTTATGGTCTGTATTATTTGGTATCGAGTTTTCCATAGTTTTATTATACTAAGAAAGACTGAAAACTAAAAGAAACTTAAAAAACAAAATCAACAAAAAAGTTGTGATCGCCTGATTACGATCACAGGTTATTCATGGGTCAAATGCTTTTTCTTTCTGGATGGACTCCGTTAAGCATTTCAAATCATGGGTTGCAAAAACTGTCTCCATTGATGTTTGTTGCTCGGTTTGATCCTGCCTATGTACGTGCTTCAAAATACTTTTCCCTATTCAGTATTTATATTTATATTGAAATCACCGTCGAGCCAGTCATTATACGTTCATAATGGAAAAAAATATAAAAATACTTTAAATTATTTTTATGTAAATACATTAAAAATGCCTGCTAGAGAAAAGAAAAAGAAAAACAGCAGCAGCCGCCATAGCAACGCACTGTGGACAAAAGACCATAATCTTTGACCAAAAGTCAAAAATTAAATTTTCAATTAAAATATGTGAAGGCAGTTTTAATATAACCCAAATTAAGTATTCATCATTCCAAACATTATAATTTACTTTTTGAACTGACGAGAGTACAATGTAATGAAAAATATTTTAATTTTTTTTTTATAAGTAACTTTTAAATTTTATTTCAGAATATAGGAATTTTACCTTACTGTCACATTTTTATCAGAGTAATTAGTCTGAAATTATAGCACAATTTTTCAATGTGTTGGATTAGTTAATGCTCTTGACAAACTTATAGTTTACATCTTATCATTTGACATTTTACAATGTTTGAATGACTTTTGAAACTTAGTTCCAAAAAGCTCCACGAGGTAATTAGCTAAACTTTTTTTTGTTGTCTCCTTCGAAGTTTCTTCGTTTGAAAAAACCTGCCCCATTTTGCCCGTATTACAAAGGTGGACTAGATATACCGAAAACGTTATTTTGTAATATTACTTCGGAAATATAATTTGCTTTTCATTTTTAGTATAAAATTACGAAAATTATTATATTTTCATTGCTATATTTAATTATTTAAACGTACTATATTATTATTTTCATTTTTGCTCGCCATATTTCAGTCGCCATTTTTTTGGGGGTATTTTTTGGTGTATTTCAAAATTTCCACTCTGAATTCAATTTACCTGCACATAAAAACCCCTAAATAAAAAACCTCCAAATTTTTAAATTTTTTTTATCGAAATACTAATTTTGACCATGAAACCTTGGATGCTGGCCCACTGTGCATCAAAGGCAAAAGTGTCCTTTTTGAGCCTTGGGCCATTAAATCTCAATTCCCATTGAATTAAACTGACAACTAAAAAGGGACTCGTGTCGTCTTTAAAACCACAACAGATAAAAAAAAAAGTGAACCTGCTGAATGATTAAAATGCAAAACTTATTAAAATGCAAGGATACTTACATGACATTTCTGGAGTCGAATTTTATACTCTTCGCCCTAAATTAAAAAGAAGAAAAAAACAAATGGAAAAACATAAGAAAAGAGATAAAACTTTTCGGTGACATATAAATATATTTCATTATTTTTTAAAGGTAGCTTTGTCGTGCATTTACCATTACAAAAATATAATTCCAAATCACTAGCTTGTAAGACACGTTAACTCGATTCTATGGTGGGGTACCTTTTCATAGATGACAGTTGACAGGGTCGATAACTACTCACTCTCCAGATTGGTGACCCGGACGTGATGTTAACAAGCCTACCTTGGCAGAAACTCCCACATTGAAATGAACTTGCGTATATTAACAGTAACGCCCACTTCGATTTGAACTTCGATACTTCGATGGATTGTCCACATTGAACAGTTGACTTGCTACTTGCGACATTGTCCTTCTCACGCTGTTGCTTCTCAGTCTCGATCACACACACACACATGGTACAACGTATACACTCGACAGCTAAAGGCAACACAGGAGCGACCACGACCGTGATCTTAATACAACTCTCCCGTCTTCTCACAAAACAGCAATGAATCAACTGGTAGTATCCGTTCATAGATTTCTATCACAACTATAATTCTGGTGGGGGAGTACTGCAGTGTGTCTACCACTACAAAAATATAATTCCAATTCACTAGTATGTAAGGCATGTTAACTAGATTCTATGGTGGGGTACCTTTTCATAGATGGCAGCTGACTTGGTTGATGACTACTCACTGTATCTTAACAAGAGCAAACAATTTAAATTTGGCAAATAAGTTTTTTTTATTGAATACTGATCTTTTATTAAATCATAAAATAGGCTCTTTGAAAACTGTTTCGTCAAATTTTTCGTACAAAAAAATAATTTAATTTTTCTAAAACTCATTTCCTTTTAAAATATTTCAACGTTAAGTTTTAAAACTGTCCTAAAAAATCGTATCTAGTTAAAAAGCTATTCTTTCGAGGGTCAATATTTTGATGGTATCCTCATGGACTGCGAAGCAAAATATATGCAATGGCTCAGACCAACACCAAATTCTTTTTAGATTGATTAGAGTGGGTTTTTAAACACTTCTGTTACCAATTATTTTGAAAAAAGAAAAAATGCAAAAAATCAGCCTATTTTTTTTCATTTTATTAATAAATACTGGAGCAAAACATAACTTGCAAGTTTTAAGTTGAAATTTGAATTTTTTTTTATGTGTAAGAAACCTTTTATTTAAAATCAGTTTATTATCCCGAGTTATTTCGGGGAAGTTAAATATTAATCTTTGTAGGATAGCTCATAAAACAAGGGACAACGCAAAGTGATACTCTTCATACGTCAGTGAAGGAATACGCCATTTTTATTTACCCTTTTTTCTATGTAACCATCGTATATACAATTGCACAAAACGCGTGTGCAATCCCACAGTCCAACAGCAAAACTCTCAAATTAAACTTGGCAAACTTCCAACTACAGCATTTTTTTGCTTCCGACCGAGGCGTGATAAAACATAATGTACTGGCAAATTCTACTAGGCCCGAGTTTTCTCGGGATGACAAATGTTTGCAATATATACGTATCCGAGATAACTCGGGATAATCACGGAAGCGGTTAACAACTCCCTCCAAAATAAAGTTAAAACAAAAATGAATTTTAATAATGAAGATCAATCTTTTTCAAAACAAAACGAAATACTGATTTATAAGCTTTTAGATTGAATCACTCCATGTTAAATTTACATAAAAAAAAATCTTTTTCGTTTCTTTTCGGGAAATGTTTAACCCATCACAGACCCATCGCACTTAACCGCTTCCCTGATCATTCCCGAGTTAACTCGGGTATGTATGTATTGAAAATATTTATTATCCCGAGTAAACTCGGGCATAGCAGAATGCGTCCATACGTTTTGTTTTATCACGTTTTTATTCGGTCGGAAGCAAAGTAACAAATAATAATAATCTGCTGTGACTGGAAGTTTGCCCATTTTTGTTTCGGAGTTTTGCTATTTGAGGGACTGCAGACGTGTTTTGTACAATTGTATATACGATGGTTGATGAATTTACATAGAAAAAAATGGCGTTTGCGAGCGAAAGTGAAAGTAATGCAGATTATGCAGATATGAACATATTCAAAGACTGATATTTGACTTTTTTCATTTTTGCCCTAGATCATTTGGGATAGTAAACTGATGGTCCATTAGATATTTTTTACACATTGAGTACTGACAACTTGAGTATGATGTTTCGTTTTAGTTCCTGATATTTATTAATGAAATCAAAAAATATGGTGATGTTTTGCTTTTTTTTTTCTTCAAAAAAATTGGTAACGGAAGCTGTTAATTCGCTCCTATCGAAGTGTCCTTCAAATCTAAGAATTCTTTTAATCTTACTTACATGTTCAGAAGAGGTGGTAAGCTCATGAATGATACAATGTAGAAGCTGCAAAGAAATGAAAAACTTTTTTTTAAATAATATTTATGAATAAATTATTAAAGCAGATTAGTATTATTAAACCACCCATTAAATTTAAAAACTGTAAGAGATTACTAGCATGAACTCGGCTGTTAACGTCGTACTAAACCTTCTCTAATGGGCTATTGGCGACAGTTTTGGATTCATCTATAAGACATTACGATACTGAGACAACGCTTGCTCACTACACTGCTACAATTGAGTCCAGACGACAGATAAGGGTAGTATTATCCCCGGCCCACGCAACCTTTTACAGATTTCTCTCCACTTCTAAAACCATTGAGTGCATTACCTAAGGGTGGATTCTGAACCACTTAAATGCAAGATCATATGACTAGCTTCCAGCACGGTTGATCCAATATACAGTCTCTTTCCAAATTCTTAGACGCACTCTAAGATTTTATGTAAAATCTTAATTATCAGGGGATACTCTATACAGCTTTATTGTTTTTACGCGGTTTGCACATATTTACGTTAGTGTATCAATGGGTTAACATTGTAATGCAATACGTTAAAAATAAATACAAATAGGAAGTATATGAAAAATCTCTTGAAATAAAACACATTACATGAGTGTTTAAATGTAAGAGTATTGCATGCAAACTCTTGCAAAACATGTCATTATTAAAAACAACAGTGTGTCTAATCATTGGGTCGAATTATTATAATACGCTAATATTATGATTGATATAATAAATATTCTATATTTATATAATATATCGTCTAATTTATTCGATCGTAGAATTTATATTATATATCGTCTAATTTCTACAATTAATACACGAACATAAACATGGTCAAACAGGTTTCAGTCACGTTAAAACAATAAAGCTGTACAGTATCACCTGATAATAGTCCAGCAGTGAACTGATCGTTAAGACACGTTTCAGTGCAGATCAACGAAGTCAAGTAACCACTTTGATTAGCCTGCGTTAGGGACAGAGGGTGTGCGGGATCGGTCCTCGCTAAACTGTTCTACCGTAAAGTGCTCGACGTCAAGCGCAGGTCGTCGGGCTACCAAAGCAGGGGAGCCACCCCCTCTACAGAGGATCGAAATTGCGGTGGCAGGTCTTCGGATCATCCTCAGGGATGTTTCCCTGACCGTCGCCAATTAATTGCCCATTGAGCAGCTATAATGTGACATAAGTAAAATACCTGTAACTACCTGAATTTTTACATAAGAGATAAACGGTACTGTACGCTTCATGAAGATATTTTACTTGAAGAATACGATAATATCACACATGTTGATTAAATCTGCTGACACGTTTCGACAAAGAAAGAATGAATAAAATGGCGGCGAGCTAGTGGTAGCATACCCAACCTTGCATGTAGAGTTGCCTTATAACCTGAGACTTACCATCTTAGTACTTATGATCTATCTGAGTTTGTGTCCCGCAGTGGAATGATCGTTAAGACACGGTTCCCAGCAGATCACCGAAGTCAAGCATCACTGGCTGCGGTCAGTGTGCGGGTTGGTGAACACTTGGATCAGTCTGCGTAGGGACCGAGGGTGTGCGGTACTGGTCCTCGTTAAACTGTTCTACCATAAAGTGCTCTTCTTCGCGTGCAGGTCGTCGGGCTACCGAAGCGGGGTTTGCCGTCCCCTCTGCAGAGGATCAAAATTTTGATGGCATGTCTTCAGATCATCCTCAGGGATGTTTCCCAGACCGTCGCCCATAGCCCATTGTGCAGCTCTAATGCGACGTAAATGAACTACAACAACAACTATCTGAGTTTGTTGCTCACCCTATAAGCTGTGTTGTTGTTATTTCCAATGTCACTTGGCATTCTAGCAAGCCTGCTTGGTGAAACCGAGCAAATTTAAGGCAGAGTGTGCGTTTCTTGTTTTTCAGTGGCGCCATCTATGGCAAAGAATTCGACTTCTGCCGCACCATACGTCGCACCCGTTCATAGGGTGGACCCATTCATTCATCCGCAGATCGTAATTTTGACCTGAAACAGAGAACGATCGAACTCTAATCCAGTACCGCTAAAGGTATTGATTTTCTATGGGAACATCGAGGACTTTTGTGACTCGACATATTTAACGTGCATCAGTCACTTTACTACACGGGGAGTCCTCGGCCGGCGGGGTTCGAACCCACGAACTCTCGGACATGGGTCCAGCTCCCTACCGACTAGGCTATACGTGCCTGTAAGCTGTTTTTCTGGTATAGCATACCGAACCGAGCAGTTTCCCCGCGTCATTAGTCACGTATTCTAAGAACTAGACTTCTCTTTTCTTTGGTTCCGTGGCTTCACATTACATTAGACATTTTAAAACATATCTTGATGTAATGTATACTTCAAATTTCAGTATGAATCTAACAAAGTCACTATGAAACTGTGCACTCAATTGTTATTGCGAAGGAGAATTTACGGAGGGCTGACCCCTATTTACCCCATCTTGCATGAACTTATGAAGTCCGTGATTCCTTTGGCCCACAACTGAGTTTTGCGAAAGGGTTTTACTGTAGAAAAACCGAATGGGAAAATTCTCTCTCTGTCCGAGTTTCAGGAAGCCAACCCTATCGTTTGGCAGCTACTTTTTATTATGCTAACCGGTAAGAGAGGCTTCGAGACGAAGGAGATGAAATGCCCCGTTTATAGAATATTCATTTTTTACACCACTTCCAGAATAGAATATTTGAAGAAGACTCTTACCTCCGCCACTTCGCTTACTTCTTTTTGGCAGTTAAATTGAATGTATGTTTCCACAACATTATTCTCTTTTTTGAATCCATCGTAGCAACCTTTCACTAATTTCCAAACCTGCAAAGAATCCATAGATCTTATTTTTCTTTCTGAGTCAGAAGCATGTCACCTTAGGGCAGAAATTTTTTTTTTTCTTTGTCACTAAAATGTTTGCCCTAAAAACCTTTTTTCAATGAAAAAAACAATGCAGTTTCAAACCTTTCATCCTAAAATAGTTAAAAACTAATTATTTGTAAAGCTTTTTTTATTAAAAAAAGTATTGTCACGTAGGTAAAATGGTCCCTTAGTTTCCGTAATGACGTTTTAGCTGACGTCACACAAGCGATAGGATCCAATTGGGTATACTATAGCCTACGTCACAGGTTGTGTTATTCCTACTAAATTTAACCCATGAACGGCATTTTCTGCGAGCCTAACTTCAAACCACAAATAAACAAACGAAGTGCTTGATCGTTTAAATAGCTGCTCGCCAGATTTTATTGCATTACAAAGAAAAGTAATTGATATTCGATTTTTGATTAATAATTCATTTATGTGGATAGTGGCATTTATGTGGATAGTGGCATAGAATTTACCATTGCGTCATGGTAAATGTTATTCCTACTAAGTGGAAGTAGTTGTGTTTTTTTTATACGAGGGTTGTAAATTAAATAGTGGCAACTTAACCTTGAAACTCACAGAAGGGCGGGCATGCGCAAATTGAATATGGGAGCGGTGAGGTGCCACTGTTGTCGATGTGTAGAGTGGGAAAAAAAGTCGATTTGCTTAGAAGGATAGTTGTTGTGTGGCGTTAAAGTGAGGAGTTTCTTTTCCATCGCTCTAAAGCATGTTTTCAAAAGGTGATCAGCGGTCGTGGGTTACATTCGAGGTTGCCCGTGGCAAAAGTGCAACAGAATGCTATCGAGGATTAGTGGAAGCCTGTGGAGCAAATGTTTTACCGTATAGGACAGTAGCACGATGGGTTCAAGCATCTCGTCTTTTTTCGTCATTAAGCCTTTTCACAACATGCTTTAGAGCGATGGAAACGAAACTCCTCACTTTAACGCCACGCAACAACTATCCTTCTAAGCATATCGACTTTTTTTCCCCACTCTACACATCGACAACAGCCCCACCTCACCCCATCCATACCCTATTTACGCATGCCCGCCCTTCTGTGAGTTTCAAGGTTAAGTTGCCACTATTTAATTTACAACCCTCGTATTATACCCAATTAAGGCTCCTATACTATCAGAGCTGACCTATCAAGCAATATTGGAGCAAAAAAGTTCACAAGTTAACGTTATGTTAGTATTGTGCTTATGTTAGCTCTTTGGAGCAAAAATAGACGATGAGTCAGCCTGTCTAATTCAGGGGCTCTAGATCTAATGGCATTGTTCATTAAAATTATCATGACAAGGTAGATTTTAGCAGAGAATACAAGACGTTGCGAAAAGAAACCTTATAATTACCTACATGTGAGATTATTGTCATCTTAAGACAAGACAAGCTATACTCAAGGATTTTTTTTCACGCTTGAAAACATTAAGACAAACTCGATTTAAGGTTTTTGTATAGAAGGTTGTTTACCAAGGTTTCGAATGAGGGTAATGTGCGTGGAATAGAGCAGATGATCACTTATCTCGTTTTTGAGTTGGAAGGTTTGCACGTAAACCTCTTAAAAAAAACCTTTTTAGGCCTACATTAAAAAGGCTTTTGTTGAGTGAAAATAAACTTTATTTTGCTATCTGGGATGTGTTTCAAAAAATAAAATGGAAGCAATAGATTTTTAGTGTTATACTTTAATCTGGTTGTATGTACGTAAATGTAATTTACATATATTACAATTATCACAGTTTATTACGTAATTTAACAGATAAATGTTAAAAAAAACTGTTTTATTTGAAAAAAGTCACATTCGATTACTTAATTTAACAGATAAATGCTAAAAAATGCTGTTTTATTTGAAAAAATCACATCCGATTACGTAATTTAACAGGTAAATGAAATAAAAAACTGTTTTATTTAAAAAAAATCATATCCCGATTACATCATATCCGAATTTTTTAAAACAAAATCATGAGCTCTTACAGCCCTGGTCAGTATGCTCTTGTCGTTTTTTCTTATAATCTGTTTTCATGGTGATAAACCGTCGCCCCCCCCAACCGTGAAAGTGCCTGTATACAGTATTTCATTTATATTTTCATTACAAATTTTCATAAACAATCACTTTTTCTCCTTAGGTCGAATGGCTTTTTTCCTCGAAAGGTGAATTTAATAACCTGGTTTTTTGAAACGGAGCACATCTTTCTGAATGAGACAGTTTGTAATGAAAGCATAAATGAAATACTCGATACTCAAACTTTTGTCAATAAATATTTTTTCTCTCTATATATTATAATATGTTGCACTATATATTGTATAACATTTTATATATTATATATGTTGGAAATTACAATTAAAATCATTAATCTATCAGTTAATTTCATTTAGTGAGCGCGTGATAATCACGTGCTCTAAGCTAATCCGACTCCTCCCACACACACTGACACTCTGGTTCGAGAGAGAACTGTTTTAGAACTGCGATGCGAAGCATGTTTTTTTTTGTTGTGTGTGTCCGTAAATATTTTGTGTCCATATGTTTGTGATTGTGAATAAAATTTAATATTGAATGTTTCACTCTCAATTGCAATTATTTATATGATTTATAGAAGTCTATGGATTAATACGAAGTGTTCCCGGCCTTTTGGTGGAGGTAAGCTATCTCCTTTTTTATATATTTTGGTAATACCCAAAAATATATTTGTTAAAATTGCGGTACTTCACCCTTGTATTAAATAGTTCGCTTTTAATCTTTCACTACAGTCTCTGGTCAAATTGTGAGACGCACTGTAAGACTCTATGTAAAATCTTAATTATCAGGTTCATACTCTATACAGCTTTATTGCTTTTAGGAGACTGAAACCGGTTTGCACTTGTTGACGTTAGTGTATGAGGGTTAAATTAGGCGATTTATAATATAAATTGGACTGTTGGATAAATGAGCCGATATATTATATAAATATAAAATATTTATTATATCAGGTATTATATTAGTGTATTATAATAATGAGACCAAATTATGAGACAGACTGTAGTGTTTTAATAATGACATGATTTGCAAGAGTTTATAGGCAACACATTTATACTTAAACATACATGTAATGTTTTTTTTTTTCAGGAGATTTTTTATATACTTCCTATTTTAATTAATGCATTATTTTTTAACGTATTGCATTACAATGTTAACTAATCGATACACGAACATAAACAACTACAAACCGGTTTCAGCCGCGTCAAAACAATAATGCTGTACAGTATCACCTGAGAATTAAGATTTTACATAGAATCTTATAGTGCGTCGAATAATATGGCCAGTAAGTTAGCCTAAATTCTCCGCTAACCCGAAAAAAGATTTCATCGGTTTTATGACCACGTCTAAGCATTTTTATTTTATATAGATAATGATAAAAATGTCACACTTTTCTAACTACTCATAGTTTTAAATTTAAAAAAAAGTACTTGTGTTGACATTAATTTTCACTTACGTCGACTTAAAAGATATTTGAAAAAAAAAATGACTTACGTCAGGTCCGTCATAATGATTCATGCATCCTATCAGTTCTTCCCTCCACTTTGCGTATTCTGCGACTGTAAACAAATAGCCACAATTGTTACTTTAAAAAAATGTAGTATTTCGAATTTTTTAAATTTTGAATGAATGGATACATTTTTAAGATCCTTAATAACTTTCACCACTGATGAAAGTGCATTTAATAACGTCTATAACTAATGTTAGCAAAACAAATCCTATAAGAAAACTTTTTTGTTGACTTAACTTGGCCTATGTTGATTTACTTGGCTCAATCCAATTAGCTTTTTAGTTGCATTTGTTCAATGAAAGAACAGAACATGCTCGCAGAACAAAAGTTTTCGCATGCGTTACAACTCTACTGATGTCGATCTAATCCTTGTAGTTTCTATTTTCCGCACAAGTAGTTGACTATGAACGCCAGTTAAAGTCATAAATTGTAAAACTTATGTTGCTGTTGTTGTTTCTAATGCAACTGGCCATACGGGCAAGCCTGCTTTTTGAAACGACCAAATTTAAGGCAGAGTGTACGTTTCTTGTTTTTCAGTGGCGCCATCTATGGCCAAGAATTCGACTTTTGTCACACCATACGTCACACCCGTTTATAGGGTGAACCCATGCATACAACCATTCATTCATCCACAGATCGTAAATTTTGATCTGAATCAGAGAACGATCGATCTCCAATCCAGTACCCCCAGAGGTCAATCCAGTATCCTCGACTTTAAGTAAGGTAAAACTTATTTAAAACCTTAACGCCTTTCGGTATCACCTACAGAGATATTAATCAGGAAAGGAAAACCACAGGAATGGCAAATTAAAAATGATACACTGTTAAAATTTTCCTTCTCAAATTACGGTAAAATAACTGACTGCTGTCGGTCAATCCGATTAACCGTAAAGTTTACGGTAAATAACATTTTTTTTCCTTTACGGTTTTGAAGCCATTTACAAAAAGTATGGTCATAAAACCATGAATACAAAACTGTACGTTTTTTTAACCATTTACAACTAGTATTTTTTAAAAACGCAAAAAAAAAAACAAAAAAAATAATGATTTATCTAGATATAGGAACTCGACTTTAAGTTAGGTAATGACTAATGAGCAGTGGAGAGTGCCGGACACTGGAAATTCTGCATGTGTTGAACGGAATGGAGAATATAACGTAGTATCAACACTGGGACTCGAACTCCAGTTCTGCCGGTCATGAGATGGACAGATAAGTCCGCTCGGCTAGGATATGCACACAGTTGCAAAGAACTAAGTAGCTTCATGAGGTGGTTCTAGCCACTGCGATAAAACTCTGGTTGTTTAACCGTATTAGATGAAAGCAGTTAATAAACAGTTTTTATCAAACTTAACCGTTTGATTACCATTTTATTTATGGCTATTTGACTGTTTTGATTAAATATGGTAAAATAACCATTCAATAATGTGTTATTTAACCATTTTTTCCGAGAAATTTCTAAAAGTGTTCAATTCAAACAATTCAACATAGAGTAAGTCACACCAACTGGAATAAGAATACAGTAAGAATATTAAATTATCAGTAAAAGTTGAAGAATAACTATTGAATAATATAAATGAAAACTATTTGTGGCCTTGAAATTGACATTATACATGTGCCAAGGCGATTTGAATTGATCTCAGCATCATAGGCGGTTTTATACCTTTCGACAGGAGTGTAAAATGCGAATAGAAAATTAAGAATAAGTATAGAATGTTGAAACACATAATTTTTTTAAAATTCGAAATTAGCAGTTTCCTGTAACAATGACACTTTTAAATATATAAAAATGTTATGGTTATTTTTTCTACGCGTGATAATGATTATAGTTACGCGATTCACATTTTTCTTCATTCTTTAGGTTACCACTTCACGATTTTCCTACGTTGAACACCGATCCACTCAGCGGATAGGCAGCTTTTTTCCCTTTTCAGTGTCTGAGTCTAGAACCCAGAAGACAAGAAAAGACCTGTTGAGATAAAAAGGGTCATATTCCCCTCCGAGGAAATTCTTCAAAGCGAAAACTATCCAGCATTGGTGCTAAATGCTGGCAAAAATCAGGAAAACTTCTCATGGTTCGCCTGATACCAATGGAGCTCTGATATGTTTCGACCAAATTTTGATCGCATCAGCATGCAATCTCTGCAGTCAGGGAGCGAAAAAAAAATTTACTCTGTGATTCGTTCATAAGTTGATTCGTTCATAAGTAGATTTAATATCTCTCTGCTAAGCCCTACTTATTTTTCTGGAAAAGTTGCCATTAGTTTTGTCAACTGCACTTATCATTTTACAATTTATTTAATTTATATTTTAAGTTTGGGCACGTGTCTTAACGATTGCTGATGACCTCCTTGTACTTTCAATTTGAAAAAAAAAAATCAAAATTTTTTTTGGTCAGACTGATATTATGTAAATTCGTGCTTTTTTGATATGTATAGTTCATTCACCAGGAGTTGGCACTTGGCTCCGCATACATCACGTGGTATCCGACTATAATATTTCGCTAATTTGGGAGAACAATCCTGCACAAGGTTACTATTTGGCGTTCGTGTGGCAAAAGTATTTATTTTGCAATCCTTATATTCACTATTTAACATTAAATATTTCATAAATTTGATGATATTTCTCTCTTTTGAGTGAATAGTTTGTAATTTTTGAGACATCTTGCTGCACTATATTTAATTAGCTAGAGTAGCGAAAGGTATATAATAGCAGATGATAAAGCGAAGTAAGTGATTGAAAAAGAATTCACTGCTTACGTTTGGCGAGCATTAAGGGTTGTCTCAATTTCAAGTGCGGAGACTTTTTTCCTCTTACTCCCAAGCCGGTATAAACTCTTCGTCCGAGGAGGAGGGGTCAAGTGCCAACTCCTGGTGAACGAACTATACTACGTATACAAAATTCAAACTTTTTGATGGCTTTCCATTGATGGACCAGCATAATCTTGATGGCAACCATCAATAATTCCATCGTGAACTATTATATTTTTGAGGGCAACTGACATAAATAACCATCTCTCCAATGTGGAATTCGAACTTGATTTAAGATGGTCCAACATAAGAACTGCAATTTGTTTTGATGGTTTGTTCATGTTGAACTATCAGAAATTTCCATTATAGTTTCTAAGAAATCAAATATTGAAAGGATCATGAACCACCATCATCATCATGTAGGAATTCGAACTGATTTATGCTGGTTCAACACAAAAAAATCCAAATTATTTTGATGGTATATGGCTGAGAACCAACAAGAATATCCATTAAACCATCACGATCATCATGGATTGTTATTCCATTGGAATCAAACTCCTCTTGATTGTTAACCACCATATTATTAAAGTAGCATTTTCCATGAGAGAATGATAGAAGTTTGTTGGCATATCAAAAACCATGAATCCATAATGAAAAATGTTGGATGATGGTGACCACCGAATGATGTTGAACCATCATGAATCGCACTGAAAGCAACACAAACCATCAAAGCGTTTTGATTGAACTATCTAGAATTTCGAATTGGGTACTAATATAGGTACCTCGATTCCTGCTGTAAGTACTGTGACTATACTGTGACAATAGGCTTTTACAGCCGACCGAATAGGATAAGAACCGGAGTCAACTGTTGATTATGGTATCTAATAATTGACAATCAAGTGCTGACCTCCAGCATTATGCCAAACGATACTGAATATTAATGCTATTAATTTTAATAGGACGGACTTTCAAAAATGTGCTTTGCTTTATCTAATAACGTAAAGCCATGAAGAAGAGCAAAACATAATAAATAATATAACTGGAATTGTTTTGATTTAATTGTGTCTGGATATCTCTTTCAATTTTGTGCATGATTTATTGATTATTACCGATTTATTGATTATTGAATTAGGTTTCAACTCGTAAAGAAGAACGAGTATTTAGCTTTTAACAATAATAATGAACTGAAAAAATTGTATAAGCACAAAATAATACATACTAGTGGGCTGTGCCCCCTGCTCGCTAACGCTCGCCAACCCCCGAAAATTGCTACGCAATCTTATATGGTTTGCTTCGCAAATCAAGCTCGCTTCGCTCGCTACTAACTTAGGTACATTGCAAATGCACAAAATTTTAAGAATTCAAAACAATCATTCAAATTCATATAACAACTTTTTTTTAAAAAAAAATTACATCTTTTTAGTAAATACTAAGTCATTAAAATAAATTTGAATTCAAATAAATGACATGTAATTCGTTAAACCTATTAGAAATGTGCTATAGTATAAAATCTTAAGATATAAATTTCTAAAACTGATATCTCTTTAAAAAGGTTAAAATTTTGGCTATAATTAAGTCTATTAAAAATTTAAATAAGAGAAATTGCAATGGAAAAACCCTGCATAAACAAAACATTGAATTTCGGAAGAAATCTCGTTTGGTGAGAATGCTCTCTCTTGTCAAAAAATACAAAATAAACTGACCTCAAATAAAACTCCAAGGACTTCGAATCAAATAATTAAGGAAACTACTATCACGTTTAATATAAAGGGAAGATTTATTAACTAAACAATAAAATTACAGCATTGCAGTTCCAAAAAATAAATCTCACACTCACTCAAAAAAACAATTTACCTTCTAATTAGTCACCATAGCAACCACAAAACTCTTCTCGTTACCATCTATAAACTGATATATAATAAATAAATTATTTAACAAAAAATACGATGCGCATAAGCACATAATATTTTACACTCTGGTTATTTCAGTTTCCGTTTTTAGAAGCGCTATATGTTGAGCCACCCAACCTAGATTTGGCATGTGAAATTTTTAGCGGCAATTATTGGTTGATTTTCTAGCGTTGCCATTCGGAGAGTTGTAATGAGGCGTTTTTTTATCGCCGTGTAAGAGTAATATATATATAGATTTTCAAGACGACAGTATTTAAACAGTGACTTTAACATTCTTGCATCCACACTTTACCTGAAAGATATCGGATGTTATAGTTCGATTCAGTTCAAATTTCAGCGAATTGACCTAGTTATTTTGATTTTAACCGAGTTTCTTTAACTATACTCCTATGGTTGCATTTAAAACAAGTTATATTCATTTTTTTAAACCTAAATTTTGACGATGTGAAGCCAAATCATGGCTCTTGTGCCAAAAATTTGTATCGCTCTCGAAGCAATTTAGATTTTATTTAATAAAAAAAAATGGTGACTCTGGATAACTTTTGATCTAATGATCGAATCTTCACTTATATTCTTAGCTTATATTCTTTGAAATGATGAAAAAATTTTATATTTTACAACTCAAATTTTTTTTGGCTAATATTAAATAAAATTATAAAAAATAATAAATATTTACTTAGTTATTTTATGAAAGGAAGTAACTTTGGTTATACAAACTACATAATAATTTTTATAATTTGAGTATACGAATTATAAAAATGTTACAATTCGCTTTAAAAATAGTCGAGATATGGCGAAATAGCCAAAGAATTAAATAAAAATTAAAATGTCAAAACTTACAATCTCCCTCCTGACCAAACTATTGGGACTCAATTTCTCAGTTTACGGCTAAACCCTATGTTTTGGGGATCAGAAATCCGAATCCGTTGAAAAAAAGGTATTCAGAGAAAGTACGTTTTCGAGTCTAATTTCGTAACGTAAAAAATCGTCCGCGCTTCTTAATGAGCATGAAAAGCGGCACGGCCGAGTGTTACGAGTATCTTTAACCCCCCCCCCCCTCAAAATTTATTTAAGCATTATTAAATATATAAAAAAAATATCTGAATTACATACCACACATGACTTTTTTGTAGAGACCTAAGCCTTCAAAATCGCCGACACCATAAGCTGGGGACAAAATTGCCAGAAACACAGTAAATACAATTGCATTCATCCTCAAAGTTTTTCACGTAAAATTCGAAAGTATTTATTTTAAACCTATATATATATAGGCAACCGTAGGGAAATTTAAAAAAAAAGAGACATAATTCGAAGAATTTGAAAAATGGATTTAATGTCATTGAAGTTATTTACTATCTTTAATAATGAAGAATTATTACACGCACGCAATGCATTCCACGGAACGTGAAGTTAAGGAATAATAAATGGGTTCAATGCAGTTGCGTACTTTTCGATGGATTTGTTAATTACTCTCAAATCGTATGGAGATCTCTTTCTTTTACAGCCATCGGCCATATTATTAGACGGAATATAAGATTCTATGTAAAATTATAATTATCGAGTGATACTATACAGCTGTATTATTTTTACACGGATGCATTTATTAACGCTCCTGTATCCATGGGTTAACATACGTTAAAAATACATGCAAATTAGAAGTATGTAAAAAATATCCGGTTAAAAAACCCGTTACATGTATGTTTAACTATAAAAGTATCGCGTATAAACGGGTGCAAATCATGTCATTATTAAAAAACTGCAGTGCGTCTCACAATTTGATCTCATTATTATAATATAATGCTTGATATTGTAAATAATCTATATTTATATAATATATATCGTCTAATTTATCTTATCGTTGAATTTATTTCATATATCGACTAATTTAACCTATTGATACACTAACCTAAACGAGTTCAAACTGGTTTCAGTCGCATAAAAACAATGAAACTATAAATGTAAAGTACGCACTCCATTTTTTAATTTATTAGAAAATACCGCTAGATTAGAAAAAGTAATTTTGCCTGGAATTTCATATTTCGCAAAAAATTAATTATCACAATTTGTTTAAAAAGCGATTTAAAGGTGAGAACAGTTTCGCTTCATTTGCTTTTAATTTATTTTTCGCAAGCAGTTTCTGGTATATATATAACAACACTTTTACATTTTCTCTCTTAAATGAGAAACAGAGATTAATTGCGTCTTCGGCGTTTCCAGTAAATTGCTATCCGTTTTAATACAAGGAGCTATTTATTTTATGGAACTTTGCAATAAATCAGCGTAAAACAATTCAACGTATTATTCGCAATATACTAAATATTTTTTTTTTTTTATTGAAGGTAAACGCAGTGATTTTCTCAAAGATTTCGCGCTTTCCTTAGTGAATCACTAGGGTTGTAAAATAAAAATAAAATCAAACGAGTAAAAAAGGAAAAACACAGATATAAAAATATAACATTTATAAGCATATATACAAATGTTAATGGAAGAATCTGGAATTCAGCTGAAATTTATATTTATTTTCGCATTATTCTAAATGCTTTACATTTCTGTATAAGGCGTGTCAGGCGAAACAAGTACCTGCTTTCGGGGATTAATGAAAGAATTTAAAACATCTTAAAATTTTGCAGCATGTCAACTTTTTTATGTACTTTTTTTTTAGTTTTATGTAAGTGCATGCATCCTAAATTTTATGCCAGTGCATTCCAAATTCTTATTGAAAACTACTTTTTATTTCATTTTATATCCGCCGTTGAACAGCCGACCCAATTTTGGATTTACGACTGCTAATGTTTAACTCCGTTGCCTTTTCATTTTGAACCAATTCAGAAGACAAGGAAATTCCTAGACTTCCAGAGGTATTGATTTGTTATGGGAACATGGAGGACTTTGAGACTCGACAGATTTAACGCGCATCAGTCACCATTTACCACACGGTGGCCGAACCCACGACCTCTTGAACATGCACCCAGTGTCCTACCAAACTGGCTATCCCGACTCTATTGAAAACCACTGCCCTAAAGTAAGATTAAGAAAAGTAAGTAAAGTAAGATTTGCGGTTACCATGATAACGCAAAGGGGAAAGTGTGGGGAGAAGAGAAATCGTATGAACTAGAGCCGCATATATTTAAATTACAAAGAATAATAATAGTATTTTACAGACTGGAATGTTTTGTAAACCGTTTGTTTTCTTTTTCGGTGTCTTTACATTATCAGATATAAAGTAATTTGATTCATAGGAAATCCTCCGAAGGAAAAATCCTAAAGAAATCTTCTAGAGACTCCGCTGAAGAAAAATGAAATTTATTTAGTATTATTAAAACGATGCCAGTCAAGATTTATCACTATCAAAATGTTCTGATGAATCGGCATTTAGTACATAAATTTAATTTATCTTTTATTCAGGTTTTTTTTAAAAATCAATAGTAACTTGATATAGTTTTAGTTAATAAGATGAGTTTTAAAAGCGTTAATATCAACAAGCGAAAGCGTTTTGTACTTTTAAGAATGCTTATTTTTCGATAATGTAACACATCACAAAATGAAATGATCCATATTAATTATATTTATTCTAATAGAACTTAGAGAATGAGACAGTTAAATAATTAAAAAACAACCTGCTATTAATTACGTATGAAACTCTTTTTTGATTAAATAAAGCTGAAAGTCGGAAAAATATATTTACTTAAACCTTCTTTACAGTGGATAATATTCCACAAACTGGTGGTTTGAGGGAGGTATAAGTCAGAAAGTGTCGAACGATGCACCGCGTTCTCGAACAAACGTATATCAAATTTGCTGCGAATCATTTGAGAATCGCCCATTTGTATTTACAAGATAAAGCAAGATATAAATCTGCACTAATAGAAAATATATTTTGCCCCTGTGTGCATTTACAGCAGATCACCGAAGTCAAGCATCACTGTCTGCGGTCAGTGTGCAGGTGGGTGAACACTTGGATCAGTCTGCGAAGGGACCGAGGGTGTGCGGTATGGGTCCTCGTTAAACTGTTCCATCGTAAAGTGCTCGCTCGACTTCGTGTGCAAGTCTTCGGGCTACCGAAGTGGGGGTGCCATCCCCTCAGCGGAGGATCAAAATTACGATGGCATGTTCTCGGATCATCCTCAGGGATGTTTTCCAGATCGTCGCCAATAGCTATAGTGCGAAGAATTTTAGATTGGTATTTTGGTGTAAGAAAAAAAGACAAAAACTAAATGTTTCGGTAAGTAGCTTATATTATATTTTGATAGCTTTACTTCATTTCTAATTAACTGTTAGTTTTTACCCAGAAAAATGTTAGTTGAAGCATCTAGAAATCAGCTAAAATGTATATTTATTTTTGCATTATTCTAAATACTTTAAATTTCTGAATGAAGCATATTATGCGAAACAAGTACCTGATTTCGGGCGTTAATGGAAGACTTTAACACACCTTAAAATTTTGCAGCATGTCAACGTATTTATGTACTTTTTTTTTAATTTTCTGTACATGCTATATTCTTTGATAATATGCGTCTCAAAATCACATGATTTTCCTCTTCTGTTACCATGGTTACGAATACTTCCCCCTATAAAACTTCCTTCCTCCTTAAAATTATAATTTACACTATACCTCACTCCACAATTCAAAATTATAGCAAAAGGTCTTATAGGCCTTACTACTTCTCACAACGTAAATTTATTTTATTTACTTATTCACAAGTATATGCAGGTTTGAGTGCTATATGCAAATACTCACCTCAAATAGGAGAACAGATACCACAAACGATAAAGGGACAGCACAACGATATACCCAAAGGTGGAGGCCAACCTGGACGAGCAGTTTCATCCACCAAACGCTGTGCAAAGCGTTGAGGTAGCGGGTTCGAATCCCGCTGTTACCCTGGATGTATCTTCGCGCTGTCCCTCTGAGTATTGTGCTATCTGCTCTTCCAGTTGACAAAAGTTTAGAAGCTTAAATTGAGCACACAGGCCTGCAAATTTATGTAAAACCAATAAGCCCATGGGTGTGTTGGGATTTAAACTCTGTACCTCAATGCTTCTGATCATTTCGTGGTAGGTTGATACTCCTCGCAGGCTAATTTAGCATCTCTTTATTATTGCTTTATTGAACTTGCATACATTCGCAGGCTTATTTGCTCAATTTAAGCTTGTAAACCTTTGTCAAGTAGAAGGACAGATAGAACAATTTAGAGAAGGACGTCACGACGAATACATCCAGGGTTAGGAAGGGATTCGAACCAGCTACCTCAACGCTTCACACTGCGTTTGACAGGCGGTACCGCTCGGCCAGGGAGGCCTCTTAGCATCTCCGCAAATTTGAAAGTAAAGAAGAAAAAAAAAACAGTGGACGGAAGCGTTCTCACGTGAAGTAGTCGTTCTATAAAAGCGATTCATTTTGTGTTTCTTTTCTTTCTGTACAAAACACTGTATCTTTTGAGTGTACGGAAAAGTGTGTTGTGTTTCTAGGTTTATGATCAAACTTTGGATGGGCGTTTTCGCTTCGTCGTAGTTTATTTCTCTTGTAAGTTTGTTTTCTTTTATACTCTTGGTTATTTAGTAGTGTATATGATTGTTTAATTAAAGCTTTGGAACATCCAAATCAATACAGTTGAATACTTCTTTTAAAATGTCATTTCACTTTAGTCTTGCTACCTTACAACTTAAACTTATTGTTCTAAATTCTTGATTAATCCATTAATTAAAAGGCTTTTTATCTATTAATATAAAGAACTTATCTATTAATTAAAACTTAAAATATCTATTCTGAAAGTTTTGGTCTTAATAAAAAGTTTGAAAATCTCGATCGTCTATATCTATTCATTTGGGAACCGTTTATTGGTTTATATTTTGCCATTGCTGTGCTTAAACCAAATTTTCGGAGTTTTATTTTTGTTTCTTTATCTTTAAATATATTCTTGAATAACTCAGTCTGCGTCTAACATTTTTAAAATGGGTAAGGGTAATTTTATCAGTTACTAATTTTCATTTGAGTAGCTGAAATGTAACAAACTTAATTGTGACTTAATTACGTAGAATAATTTTAATTCCAACGTAGTTTGTAGCTCAAATTTTACATATTTTTACATAGAAAACTTTTTCACTTAAATTTGTGCGTGAAGTCTATAAAATTTAATCTCCTAATTAACACTAAATTGAATAATGTACTTTTTCTATAAATTATAAATATATTATTAACTATGTACACCGACAAAACTTTTAAGCCAATTTACAGGTAATTTGTCCTTTATTTAATGTCGTTGGGATTTTTATCGTTTTATTTCTGTGCTAATATTAAAGGTAAAGTCACTTATTTCATTATTGATTATATGATCACGATTTGATATTGTAACAAACTTAAAATAATTCAAAGTTTAATAAGTGAAACACCTGTAATATCCTCAATTTATACATTTTTATCTTCTCAGTTTATTCTTAGTTTATCGATTGCTCTAAGTTAATTCTAACTAAGTTTACTAAATTTTGTAGTAATATCTAAGCTAGTTTAAGTTTCCTAAACATTTTTCTAGCAAATTAAAGTGTGTGTTATTTTTTACAGAACTCATTCCTGAAGAATGAATAACTATTAGAATAGTTGAGCATCAAATTGCCTTCCGGTTGAAACAAAGACGGTTCGAGTTCAGTTTGGAGTTTCTGAAAGCAGGTCGTAATGCTTATTTTATATTTAAACTGTATTTTCATAATAACTAAGAAATGCTAAACCAATAATGTCACTTTTCCAATCGATCGAATTTAGATCGAATTTATGTTTTTAAAATATTTTTAGTATTGGAGACTAAAATTACTTTGCCGGTATAAAAATTTTAAGTTGTGGATAATTCAATTTCATTTTGAATATTAAATTCTGTTAATTCAGTTCAGGGACTAGTTAAAACTTGAGCTTTCTAAGTACTCGCAATGTGGTCAAAATTTAGATTCACCATTTTATTTGGAGACAAAATGGTGGCATATTTTCACAACTGGTTCTGAAGTTCAGAAACTTTATTCAATTTATTTAAATGCAAATTGGGCCATATTTTTATTCAGCTACCCTTTGACCAATGTGGTATTAGAATAATGGTCACTGTTATGCAATAGATTTAATCCTACTAGAAATCGTAAAAGTTTCTCCCTTCGCCCCATACTAATTTCATAAAATACTGTAAAACAATCTGGTAACTTAACCGCTAATATACTTTTATTTTTAAAATTATTTTTAATACTGTCTAGTAAGAATGTTACTAGTCTAGACAGTACTTGTAAAACAAAGGTTCAAGAAAAAATAGGGCTGCAAGGAAACTTGTTTTGACTCTTTCTCGAGTAATAAAATGAAAGTTAGTGTGTATATGCCAGCAACAAATTTATCTGAATAATTTTAGCAATAACGATAAGAAATTCTGTTTTATTTTAAAAGTATGCAAATTGCAAAAACATATCTACTTTTATTTTTAATACTGTCTAGTAAGAATGTTACTAGTTTAGACAGTACTTGTAAAACAAAGGTTCATGAAAAAATAGGGCTGCAAAGAAATTTTATAAAGTTGTTTTGACTCTTTCTCGAGTAATGAATAGTGTGTATATACCAAAAAGAAATTTATCTGAATTATTTAACTAATAACGATACAAATTTTGTTTTATTTTAAAAGCCTGCAAATTGCAAAAACATATTATTTGAATCAAAGTTAGGCTATACTTTTAATTACGGCAAATCAGCTTGACATTCTTGGTGAATCAGCTACGTCGCCAAGTTGCTCACCACAGCACTTGTAAAAGCAGGACTAAAAACGTTTTTGCATGTTTAGCAGAGGCTGCAAACGTAATTTTTTTTTTTAAAAATCGGATGCAAACTCCTAATATTGTTGCAGCGATTCTCATCAACATTAATAGATTCAAAAATCGCTTTTAGAAAACCAATTGAAAGCGAAGATGAAGTTGAAAAATTTTAAAATTGTCTTTCTTTTTTTAGGAGAGAAAATAAAAAATTTTTCTGAAATAATACAAATGCAAACTTAGGTTTCACTTAAAAGTAATTTGTATTGTTTTTGTTATTAAAAAAACAAAGTAATTAAAAATTCTAGATATAAATAACCTGTTTATAACCTCCAGATTGCTTTGATGTAACTAAAATATTAAAGTACATGACATGAGTTGATAAATTTGTGTTGACAATTTTTGTATAGAACTTTTGCATATGGAAGTTTTTTTTTTTTTTATTCTTGGTTCTTGACGGAAGGAAAGGAATAATATCACATTTTATCATCTTATCTTTATTGTTTTAAAATAAAGCCTCGCAGTTTAATTTTAGTTTATTTTTATATTGGTTGTCAATATAAACATGTATATGCAAGATTTAAACTAAATGTAAAATTCTAGCACATTTCCTGAGTTTTGATTTATGTTTTTACTTTGCTTGATCTTATTCCAGATTTTTCTCAAGAAAATAAATTTCTCATCTCTCATTAAGTCTTCATCTCTCATTTGAATTTATAATTGCTTATTAAAATAGTATTTATAACTCAAAATTTAAAAAAGCGTTATGTTGGTGTTGCGAAATTGCGAATGAAAAAATATAGAATTTCTTCCCACAATTTTTTATACATAGTGTTCGATTGTGATATATTGAGATCGTATTATTCTTTTTGTATAATTCATGATTTAAGCCATGGATTAGCCAAATGTTTTAGTATAGTATAATTTGGCTGCAGGTTTAGCTTTCTTCTGTGTCAAGTGTCAATAACAATACATAAACTAATCTTGCAGGTTTTGAAAACTGTTATTAATTCTTTCCAAATATTTTGAGTAGCCAGCTTAGACTCTGTTGATAATGAACATTCGAAGTGCAAATATTCATATACAATTTGCATCAATTATCAAAAATTTACAAAGTATATATGTATAGATAATTTAGTTCAATGTTAATTTTAATATTATGTAAAAGCTTATTAAAATTAAATATTCTGAAGAAAATCGTTATAAGAAAGAAATTGTGAATTTTTGAATATTCGTTTTCATTTAAACATTGCAGTTTAACAATTCTCCTGTGTTTTATAGCTATCTAGAGATGCATCATGTATATTCTAAAATATTAAAAATATCTAATAAATGTTATATTTGATGCTTTATTTGAGAATTTGAAATTTTCGGATTTCAAAACCTGTTTTCTTATAGCTTAATGAAAATTGAATACTTTTTTGGTTTAATTTTTCGTTTTAAAGATATTTTCATAATAAAACCCACTAAAATGAATACCAAATTTAAACCAACTAATAAAATAGTTGAAAATTACTTGGTATTTCCTTCAGAAATGGAAGAAACTGAAATAAGTCGGACAATTGTTCAGTAATAAACCAACAACGTTTACCAATTTATTAAATTGTTTATAATTATTCTGTAATTTGTGACTAAAAATTCAGTAATTAGTGAAAAAATGCAGCAGTTATTGAATTCTTGGGTCTACTTCATAAAGTTAATTGACTAATAGTGTGCAATAATAAAATTTATACTAAGAAATCTCTTCACCTTATCTGAAAGTTATTTAGAACATTCATACTTAAAAGTATTTAGTAATGAATTGAAAATTGTGAATACAATATGACCTTCGTATTTATTGATTATGATTAATATGTAATTTGTCCATTTAATTGCATCTATAAGATATGATGGAAATGTTCTGACATTTCTTTGTATAAATATATAAAAAATGAGTTCTACTGTGCTTTTTTACATAAAACATTGGAGGAAACTATATATTTTTAATTTTTATTTTAAGAAACTCGCAAATTTTTCCAAGTCGGTGCTCTCTCTTGTTCTCTTATTTCATAATGAGGTATTAAATACGTTGGAAATTTAATCACTTCATTAAACTTGATAGCTATTAAGAAATCTGTTTTAGTATTATTAGAAAACTGTTTTAGTATTATGAAGTCGTATACAGATATTAAGAAATATCTAAGTGCTTAATACAGCTTTCACAATAAACAGCTCTGCATCTTTCAAAATAATAATTGAGTTTCTAGAAAATTCAGCGACATTGTGATAAATTTGAAGTTCGATTAAATTTCTGTTTTTCGGACAGGAAAATATGTTAATTTAAATAAAATAGCATCGCAATCAACATCAACCATGCACCTACTAAAGCCAGCCAGGTTTATCTGGCCCGCGGGTAGAATTTCAACTTGCCAATTCATTTTCTTGTCTACTTTGTTTAAAGTTATTTTTGTTATTTCTATTTTAACAGTACTGATGACCTTTTATTTTCTCTATTTTTGTTCTACAAAACATTAATTGATTAAAATAGTTAGCTCAAAAAGCTTCAATTGGTAAAACGTCGAAAGCAGAAGTTCTTTATAGAGTAGCCGTAGATTGGCGCCCCCTGAAGCAGTTGTTTCTAAGTATGCCAAATTGAGTTTTACAAATCATTTTCAAAAGCTAATTTCCCAAATTTAATATTTCGTGCTCAGAAAGTGAGTGCTATGTTTGCTTCAATTTATGTATGTGAACAAGTGTTTTCAACTATGAACCTTT